AAAATGAGGTAGCCGAGTTACAATGCGAACTGTCGAAAACACGAGAAGAACTGAATGAGATGAGAGAGAAACTGATTAAAATGGAGGAATTGCTGCATATGCATAGACTGAGTCTGTTGAATGCAGAACATACAAGTACCCATGAAAGTCCTGCAAAACTTTTCAAATCTCGAATTCTCAGAAAGCATCTGATGTCCACGACTTCCAATGTACATAATTACAAATGTAATGACTATAGACCATCTGGCAAGCAAACCGCAATATCATTATAAATACGCAAGGATATATTCGAGGTGTGGCGGATGTGGTGATTGACAATTTCTATCTCTATATTGTTTAAATACTTACTGTTGACTGTTAATATGTTTCATATATGAATTGCAATATAATTCCGCTAAATACAAAATCCTGAATTGTGCCCTCTCTGTGTTTTGGTTGGATTCGTGTAGTTCGGTCATCTCGAAATACTAATACTACAATTACAATAAATTACTACATGTTTACGTCAGATGTAGAGTTTAAGATAAGTCATTTAATGCGGCTATGAATCTATTTCTGTTGAATGGGTAGAAAATGATTCAAGCACACATTGAGTTATCGGTTTCCTGAAGAATCAGTGTAAGCGGAAGTTAGATTAGGAAAAGAAAAAGAATTGGGAGTGATCTCGCTGAAATAATGATATCAACTGACGAAGTCATTGAACATTGCAATGTTCAAGTTGGATAGAACTCATAAAATTATGCCTTACAACATACTTTCAATTCAATACTCAAATATATGAGCAAATAAAGGGAACACCAATGGGATCGCCCATATCAGGATTAATAGCTGAAGCCGTCACGCAAAGATTAGAAATAATCGATCTACCTATAATTAAACCGAAAATCTGGGTACGTTACGTTGATGATACATTTATAATAATTAAGAAAAATGATTTAGAATATACCCATAAATTAATAAACAACATATTTGAAGACATCAAATTCACCACGAGAGAAGAAGAATTACATTACAAAATCCCATATTTAAATATCTTGATCAGGAGAATCAACACAGGAAATTTAGAAACACAAGTATGTAGAAAATCAACGCACACAGATCAAATACTCAACTATTCTAGCAATAATCCAATTACTCACAAAAGAAACTGTGTGCAGACATTGTTTAGAAGAATTCAAACACATTGTAGCACTCCAGAGTTGAAAAGAATGGAAGAAAAATACTTACAAACGGTCTTCAAGAAGAATGTCTATCCAAAAAATGCCATCAAAAAGTGTTTAAAGTCGAATCAAAGCACCAACAAAGAACCATCACCAAAGACCAAAAAGAAATTCATCCTACCATACATCAGAAATATCTCTGAAATAACGGCTAGAATAATGAAACCGTTTGATATAGATGTAGCACACAAACCAGTCGAATCGCTTAATTCGATCTTATGCAAACCAAAAGATCCGATAGAAAAAGGAGATAAAATTAACACCATTTACAAAATAAATTGTATGAACTGTAACAAACATTACATCGGCCAGAGTGGGCGTCCCCTTCGAATAAGAATCCAAGAACACAAGTCAGCCGTGAAAAGACATGATATAAATTCTTTAGTATCAATGCATACAGATAATTATGGACGTCAATTTGATTGGGATAATATCAAAATCTTAAACAGAGGAAACACCAAATGTGCCAGGGAATTCCTAGAAGCCTGGTACTCAAACAAAATGCCATTAATAAACACGTTAATATAGATGAAATATATCAACTAGTAAAAAGCAAATCAGGTGACCAGAATGTTTAAAATTCCAATCAATAGAAAACGGTCAATACATATGTGAAGATGGTTGGTCACCAGGAGACGCAATTGTATCATCATTCATGGAGATTTTTAAATCATTTAAATTTATGCTAAATACTGCGCTGAAGATGCCGTCCAGAAAGACGACGAAAGCTCCGCAACTAAACCAATCAGCTCAGAGAACACTATTAATTGCGAAGTCATTGATTATCTCAATTGTGCGCTATATATATGTGGTGAGAGCAGCCTGCTAGCCAATTGGTTGACATTAATCTACGTCAATGTCTAGGTGACTAATATGGGCCGTGAGAAAATATGAACAAGGCTATTTCAACAACCAATCACGGCAAACTTAAACGTGAGCAAATATGATTCGCAGATAGATGGCTTCACTTTCCGAAGAACTTGAAAACAACCGATCAGAAGACTGCGTTTGTCTACTTGACTAGGTTGTAATAATGTATGTGATATATATATATATATATATATATATATATATATATATAAGAGAGAGAGAGAGAGAGAGAGAGAGAGATGGGTAGATTATTTAACTGAAGTCATGAAGATGCTAAGAATCATTGGTTAGCATTACTCTTTATAACATAATTCGAAGTTAATTTTTAATTAAATTTTGATCTCCCCGTTGATTGATTGGACTGCAGTGTTCGTCCTCTGTCGACATATTGGCTCTGTAGTCCACCTTGAATGATTTAATTTTTGTTTTAACGCATTCATTTAATATGGGACTGCGGCTTCAATGTTTTTCCGGCGTGGCTTGCTCTCTTGTTGTGTTATCATTAAATGCACTCTTGAGCTTGCTAACCTATCCAGTTAACAGATAACTTGTACAGTATTCTTATTTATTAGATTTGACATTTTTTTTCTTTCCTTCACGTTCCCAGTGGAACATAAGGCACCTTCAAGCTCGAAGCTTGACGTTTCTGTAACAGTGTTTATTTTATACAGGATGGGGTGGCTAGCCTCATGCCCCCCAACCATTCTTCTTTTCCAGAATTATTTCTGCATTAGCGAGGTAAAGGAGTGCGTTGGCGGCCGGGGGGATCGAACCCCGGACCATGTGTGGCATGGTCGGCGAGCGTCCTAACCGCTATACCACCGACGCACAAATTTAACATTTAATAATAATAATAATAATCTGTGCTAAAAGTATAATTCTCATTCAGGCACACTATCGAGTCACAAGCCTTTCCACTTCCAGTTCGTTAATGTGAACTTACACGTTAATTAGATGTGGTGATTGAAAATTTCTATCTTTGTATTGTTTAAATACTTACTGTTGATTGTTAATATATTTCTTATATGAATTGAATATATAATTCCGTTAAATACAAATTCCTGAATTCCGCCCTCTCTGTGTTTTGGTTGGATTCTTGTAATTCCGTCATCTCGAAATACTAATACTACGATTACAAATAATTACAACAAATTGGCATCGCGATGGTACTAAATAACCTTGGAAAATTTCCTATAAATGGTTCACCGCGGGAAATTGCTGATTATCTTGAATGCTTCGATGCATGGTGCATTTCAAAGAACGTTCGGAATGACAAAATTCCAGCTCATTTCATTACTGCTATTGGGCTAGATGCATATAGCCTAGTGAAGAATCTGGCGTTTCCAGATAAACCAATTTCTCTGCCATATGACAAAATCCATGAACTTCTGATACATCACTTTCATATAACTACTTTTGAGACCAGAGAGAGGGCTCACTTCAACAAACTGGTTCGTGCTCCCAACCAGAAGATTCGAGAGTTCATTCTTCAACTTCAAAAACAAGCTTCAAAGTGTAACTTTGGAGATCAGCTGCATACACAACTACGTGATCGTCTAATTGCTGGCTGGAGTCAATATTCCTAAGTTAGAGAAAGAGTTAGTTCATATTCCTTCCTCTACCTTTCAAACTGCTAAAGATTCATGTATTACATATGAAGATGTCAACAGTGAGTACTCTGCTCCCACTACGTCAGTGTCTGATGTCATGCTTTCTAAAGTCGAAATTACAAGTGGTCATGGAAAGCAATCCAAACTGTCGTCCACAGGTAATAGAATGCAGCGAGAGATCAAACACATTAAACCGTGTTTATCCTGTGGAAAGTTACATCTACGAAGCACTTGCCGTTTTCGGGGTGCTAAGTGTCATAAATGTGGTAAAGTTGGACACATCAAGACTGTTTGTAGAAGTTCGAATACATATGTTACTCAGAATTCCTACAATTCTCCCAATCTGTCTAGTAAAATGGAGTCAATGTGTCTTTCAACTTTTCCCAATACTCAATCTCATCCAATGAAAACCTCCACTACAAGTTTAGCAACTCAAGAGTCAACTGTATCACGTGTTTTCAAAAATGAGGTAGCCGAGTTACAATGCGAACTGTCGAAAACACGAAAAAGACTGAATGAGATGACAGAGCAACTGATTAAAATGGAGGAATTGCTGCATATGCATAGACTGAGTCTGTTGAATGCAGAACATACAAGTACCCATGAAAGTCCTGCAATCTCGAATTCTCAGAAAGCATCTGATGTCCACGACTTCTAATGTACATTATTACAAAGGGAATGACTATAGACCTTCTACTGGAATCATACTACAAAAAATGGGAAATCGAGTGGTGAAGATATTAGACACCAAAAATCACTCAGTTCATAACAGACACTTGGATCAAGTGACAATAAATGAAGTAGGTCGTTCCAAGTATAATTTTAATGATTCCGCCACTAATCCTGATTTTGTAGATAATTCAGAAATAAGTCTAGATGATACTGATGAAAATAATATCACAGAATCAGTTAGAAGATGGCAGAGACTGGCAAGCAAACCGCGATATCATTATAAATACGCAAGGAGATATTCGACATGTGGCGGATGTGGTGATTGACAATTTCTATCTCTGTATTGTTTAAATACTTACTGTTGTTTGTTAATTACAACAGTAGAGTACTGATCAGGGTTAACCAAGGAAAACAAGTTTAATAGATGCTGGCGTTAAGAACTATCTAGAGAGGTTAACATCGGCACTTACAGGTTTTTCGTGAGTGTAAGGGTAACATGCAGGAGATCGTGTTGTGTTGAGAGCTGTCTGGTAGCCTAAATTGGTACACCCAAATTGGCGTCATAAGAAAAAAACAAAAAAACAAAAGCCTGACCTCGAGGAACTCAGCAACCAATCACCGCAGACTTTGCGTGGGTGGATACGATCAACAGATATATGACAAAATAACCTTCAGTAAGAGAACAACCAATCAGAAGACGTTGCTTCTCTGCTAACAATAAAGCTAATAATAATGTATATAAAAATCAATAAATATCTGTTGATTTTCTCAACAAACCATCTGTTTCCCGGCCCTTGTCTTCTGTCGTTACAGTGTATGTAAGGAGGAAATGACAGCTTGTAGAAAATCGTAGAGACAGAGAGAGAGAGAGAGAAGACAGGACTGCAGAGAACTCAGTACAGTGGAAATATTCTGTTAAAGCCCTTGGGGTTCCACTCGGAACCAAAGGAAATATATATATATATGTATGTATAACAATAGGACATGCAATGAACACAAAACAGTCTGTTAATGAATACACATAAAGATGTACATAATTATACAAGACTACGTTATTATTATTATCACATTCTTGAAGATATTTGAAGATATTAGGAAGAGATAACAAGGGAGCGGGCGGGCGTGTCATAGAGAGTGAGCTGAAGCACGCATGCATGCATGAATACATGGGAGAGACAATTGTTTATTTTGGCACAAATGCTTCTGTTCTCTCCCTCTTGTCCTTTTACAAATTGAAAGGAAATATTCCAAAAGTATGGTGACAATGATTATTTACTGTGACATTTCAGAAAGTAATCAACTGTGTTATTCTCAGTTAGGATAAGATACCCAAGATTTTTGATCGAAATCATAATAGTAGCAGTATCAATGAGTAGGCAGTAGGGATGCAAAGGAAATTGTGACATTTTTAGCCAGTCACTGGAAAGTAGAAAACACAAAGTGAAAAATTTGAAAATAAAAGTTTGTAGGGTTTCTTGCCTCCCCCGCCTACCCACGCGTGATCTTTGAAATCATTTCTTCTTATAGTCTTGTTACAGTGCTTGCTGTTGATGTTGCTCTTGTTGTTGCTGTTGTTCTTGTTCTTGTTGTAGTTGAATCTCTTTTGCGCTGGCATACCAATTTCGATTTTTGGTTATATTCTCCATGAGGATTTGTGCACCTGGGTATAATAGTTCAGCCATTGTCTCCCATAATGGATAAACTATGTAGTCAATGAAACCGATCTGAAAGAAAAAATGTTCAACAAAACATATAAATTAAAACAATCAGTTCCTTTGATAAATTTTTAATAAGGCATTTAGAAGACAAATCTCGTGAGATGATATCAACACTTCGTTGTTTCTTTACAACCACTTCACAACTAACATAGTTCACAATATTATGCATGACAATTACTCTGTTAAATAAAAAACAAAAGTACATACTAATGACCAATCATATTTAGATAGGTCATGTTGCCCATGGTAGGCGAAGATTGAAGTCTATTGATTTTTGGACACACAGTTTAGGATGTATGTGATTAATCCCCCAAAGTGCTTCCATCACCTTCAATAACCAACCTTGAATTAGAGTTATGTGATGAAATAATTGTGAGACAGTCATTAATATTGATTTTGTGACCTGACAGTAATAAGTACTTTGCAGTGGAGGATGCTGGATTTCTATTCAGATTATTCGCATTGGGATTTTCTATATGATTTAGTAACCATTTCGGAACATGTTCTTTTCGATAACCACATTGGAATATTCTGTTGGTTCTACCTATATCAGTGTCACCACAGCTGCAGATGAACTTGTAGATATAGTTTGAAGTAGAGTCCACAGAATTTCGTCCTTTAATCGTAGGTACAGGGATCAAAAATGTTCAGCAAGGGAGAAAAAGAGATGTGGCGGCGTAGAATGTGTGCGTTTGATGGCTGACCGAAGTGTCTTTGAGCTGTCTGTCAACTGCATAATCTGGTCACTCTTGAATGGTAGGTCAATAAAGATAGCATTCTTTGGTACAGAAGCTGTTCTTTCGAGATGTGATCTATCCTTACTGTGACAGGTGATAAAGCTTTCGGGATAACCATTAGCTAACAAAACTGAATGTATATGTCAAAACTCATCCATCAATGTGTCACTCGTGCATATTTTTCGGACCCTTTAGAACAAACATTTCACGCGCCAGGTAACGTTTATACTGGATGGGAACAAAACTTGGTAGAATGAAGATATTCTCCACTCCATGTCTATTAACGACAAATACAGCGCTGAATCGTTCCATCATCTTTCCTGGTCATAGTAATATCCAGAAAACCAAGAACATATTAGATAAGTTTTACTGTCTATCTAAGTGCATAGATGTCAACATCATTAACCGGCATCGCTTGGAGAGGAGTCACTCAAAAAACTGATGAACGACGGACAGTGATTTTGTCGCAACTAGAAACTCTTAAGAAGTGAGCACACATGATCCCAGCTGGAACTGAATCTACGACTTTCGGTTGTATGAAGACATTGAATTAAGGGTCCCACAGCTCAAACATTCTAACTTCTCTATTTAGATATTTAGAAAACAGAAAGATTGAGCGAGCGAAGAAATATTTCTACTTTTCAATTAGATCCTCATCCCACTCTGGCTCTGCTCTAATATACACGTATACACGCATTTTTATTACAATACACAACAGTTTACCGATCATCAAGTGGCACTGATATGTTTGTTAACAATAATTAGTCAGTATCGACATGTCAAGGCGATGAGTGATAATTAACGAAGAAAATTAATACACACAATTAAAAGGTAGAAGTGGTTACAGCACGTGGATTGCATGATGCATAATTTTGGAAAAATGAAGAGCAATTAAGGAATAAGCGTGTGCACAGAATGATTACGTAACAGATTGTTTAAGAAAATAAAACAATTTGGACAATGACAATTTGTAACTAAAGTTGAAGTGGTCATAAGAATAAAATAATTTTTACAAGGATAACACGTAATTAAAGATGAAGTAGTCAGAAAAATAAATTAAATAATTTGGACACTTATAGTTTTTTAAAAAGAAAAGTATTTTAGGGGGAGGGTGATGGAGTAGTCCGGTTTATACAATCATGTAACGATGGCCAAGGTAAGGAAAGTGGCTGTACAAATTTCTTCTGAACACACAGGTTTGGCTTGTTCTTCAGGCGGATTCCTATTGCTTCAGCTGTAGGTATGTAGAAGACGAACTCGTAGAGCAAATTTAAGATTAGTAGGAATGCGATAGATAATTTTAAATGCAGTATTTACGTCAACCTTATGCTCACTATCTACCATTCAACATTGGTTAAGCAAATGACAAACAATATCTATTTTAGCACACCTTGTAGATAGTAAGCATTAGGTTGATGTTAATACAACATTTAAAATTATCTATTGCATTCCTACTACTCTTAATTTTTCTCTACGAGTTCGTCTTCTACAGACAGCTGAAGCAATAGAGTGGTGAGAGCTGGCTGTTAGTCAAAATTGGTGGACAGTAATTTACGTCAATGTTTGTGTCCCCAATATTGGTCGTGCGAAAAATGAGGACAAAGGCCCTCGTAGGCGGATACAATTCACATACAGATGATCCGACATTCAAAAAACAGCCACAAAGAGATGCAAGGTTAACTTCCTGTGAGAAACAACCAATCAGAAGACTGTGGTGTTTTTCTGCTAACAATAATCTATAATATGTACATGAAAATCTAAAAATATGTGTTGATTTCCTTAATAAACAATCTGTTGCCTGACTCTTGCCTTCTGTCGTTACAATAGGAATCCAACTGAAGAAGCCAACAAATCTGTGTGTTCAGAAGAAATTTGCACAGACACTTTCCTTACCGTGGCCATCGTCACAAGAATGCATAAACAGGACCACTTCGTCCCCCTCCCCCTAAACCTTTGAAAAATCATAATAATTATGATTGTCCAAATTATTTTATTATTTTTTCTGACTACTTCATCTTTAATTTACGTGTTATCCTTGTAACATTAGATTTATTCTAACCATTTCCACCTTTTAAATGTGTGTGTATTGATTTTCTTCGTTAATTATCACTCATCGCCTTGACATGTCGATACTGACTAATTATTGTTAACAAACATATCAGTGCCACTTGATGATCGGTAAACTGTTGTGTATTGTAATAAAAATGCGTGTATACGTGTATATTAGAGCAGAGCCAGAGTGGGATGAGGATCTAATTGAAAAGTAAATATTTCTTCTCTCAATCTTTCTGTATTCTAACTTCTCAATATTGACAATGATCTGATTACAGTTAGTGGAGAAATACTGGAAAACAGGGGTATCGGTATTGTTTGGTTTAGGACTCTTCAGCGTTACTCACTCATGACTCTAGCCATCAAGGATAGAACCCACAGCCTCCAGGTTACAAGATAAGACCAATGACCATCGGGCCACTCAAAAAGAGTCTAATGGCCATTGCTTCGATTCTAACTTTGGCAAAGTTCAACAATAGCGTCATCCTAAGAGATGCCGACCGACCAATCATAAAAATAAGTGACTTCTGCACAAAAAATGACCTATACATGTAAACGCATTAAACAGGTTATCTTTCTCTGACATGACTTAAAAATACATCCTAGTTATAAGGAGGAACGTCAGTTGTTAAGTTAGACTAGTTTCTGTACATGTGTATTCACCCAGGTGACTAAAGATGAGCTGTTTTTGTAAATTGTTTATCTCTCTTCTCCATCCTGTTGTGAAGTCCTCCCCAATGCCCTCAGTTGAATTACTATGGTTTCCAGTAAGAGGATCGACGACTACTTACCAGGAAAATGTAGATAATAAAACAAATTAAAATACATGACATCAACTCTAAATTTATCCCTAATCGTAACCCTAACCTTAATCCTGACCCTAATACTAACCCTAAACTTAACCCTAATCATAACCCTTATTCAAAAGGTAATTCTAACCCTAATGCTAATTATAACCCTGATCCTAACCCAACCCCAATACTTACCTTAACCCTTATCCTAATGATATGTGCCGTCAACCAACGACTAGCATGTATTCAAGGTCATTGTAGTATTCGCACTCCTGGGACTCTATAGTTGAACTTCGCCCTGATTTCTGCTAATTCATAATAAGCATCCCTTACTGGTGAGGAGTTCCTAGATAAGGACGAAACATCTGTTCAGTACTTCCTAATTATCAATGATTCTGCAACTGAAGTAAGCCAGTGATCAATCTTAAAACCAGGTGAATCCCTGTAAAGCAACATTTCTGGTCATTCAAGGAATTCAAGGAAAAAATCGATAGTTTAGTGTCAACATAAAAGGCTCATTGAACAGAAACCTGTTGATTTTGTATTCTAAAACTGTAAGGTGTGGTTTTGCATTGTCACTTTGTTTTATTGTAGCTTGAAATGTACTACTAGCAAAGCGATTAAGTATTTTTTTTTTTAATCAGCCATTCAGTCATCTATTTTAACAAAAATTGAGCATTGAATATAAACTAACAGTTGAAATCTTGAGATTGTAATGATGGCTACGAGAAAGATCTGTTGAAATCTTTTGTTAGTAAAATCAAGGGATTCATATAAAGTTATCGTGTATCATGAGGCTTAAAACCAAGCAAACATTCACGTACAGGTTTGTACACTATACAGTGAGCTAGATTTATTGTACAATGGCAAGTGGTACCTCGCAACGTGAAGTTAGTTTCGAACCCGTCAGTCACTATTGACAGAAAATGATCTTTTTAAACCAATATAGTTTGCAACTCTAGCATAAAGGCGTAAAGGAAGTTGTACAAACAGGAACGTAGGTATTCTAAGTAACTCTCAACCAGTTACTAAAACTGCAGTTACTACAATGAGATGCTCCCAAGAGACTGACTCGATTCAGTTAGGTAGTTACCTGGGATTCTAGTAGGACGATGTGATCAGTAGGGTGCAGCAGGTTAGGTGACAGGAGAAATACTCACCGAAGACATTGGCTAGTGGTCGCGCTATGTCGTTAATTGGCAGGAGTTAGAATTCATAGGCCATTGGATCGGACACCCAGAGGCTTAGTGGTCTGAGAGCTCGCTTTGTACCCAGAAGGTCCTGGTGGGTATGCACTGATGAAGAATCCCAAACGGGGTTGACGAAACACCTGTTTGACTGATTTTCCAGTTGTTCAGTAACGCCGTTTCACCTACCTAGATTGTATTGTAGAATATATTTCCGGCACCAGAATACAATTTGGACTGGGATAAGTAATTGTTAATATGATGCTATCTAGTTACTGGCTACAAGAGTGTCTACTGGAGTCCACCAGGTCGGGTCTGAAAACAAATACTCACCGGTGACACTGGTTGGCGGTCATGCTAAAACCTCGAACTGACAGAAATTAGAATTGAAGGGCCATTGGATTCCGGCACAAGTGGCTGGAAGATCAAAGAGCTTAGCATCTAACCTGAAGATTTTCATTTCGATCTCTTCTGTATAGTCTCGAACTGGGATAAAACAGCTGCCCAGTAATTTCTAGTTATTAATGGCTCTCTAACTTACACTAATCCGTGATCAGACATTAAAATCCTGATAAAATAAACTTCCAGCCTGTCTCCGGACACACCAGTATGCATCCGATCACGTTCTGACTCCATTTAATGCTATAAGTATAAAACTTGGGTACTGTGGTAGAGTATAACTCTATTATGGATAAGATTTTATTTTGATAAAGTGTCACACAGTGTTGTTATATAATAATATTAACTGATGACCACGTTTCGAGCACAAACTATTACTGCTCATAATCATATCAAGCTACCCACACAACTTGTTTTCTTTCATCTATATACTCCATTTAATGCCCTTGTTTTTGATAGTTAATGAGCACATCCTCAGAAAGCCTAGCTCAGCCAAATTACCAGAAGCCGGTACTAGAACACATCAAGTTTCTGGTTAAAGTCTGGTTAAAGTGTTACATAGTAGTAGCAGTACATTCAAGCCACTTACAATATCATTCATCCTTACACAATACACATGCGCTACATTTACAAGTGCATATAAATGTCAATGGGTGTTTCATGTTTGTTTCAATTGTTACATTGAATGTATGTGTGAATGTGTTTTGCGGTTTGTTTAAATCCCTGCGCTACCTGGATTCCTATCCAACACGGATCAGATACCTAGCGCCACGTCACAAAGGAAACTTCGAACAAACTACAGACTTTCATCAACAGCTCAATACTACTCAAGATGATATGGCCGGCCAGAAAACATCAGCAACAGGGAGGTATCTCTGGCAGTGAATGAACCAACCCAGCAGGAACCGATTGTGCAACGAATAAGGATAAAGAAATGCAGGTAGGTGGATTGGTCATATTCTGAGAAAACAAACCATCGAGTAAGATCACATGGCAGGCGATCGCTCAGGTGGAATCCGAATTGGAAGCGACGAGTTGGTCGTCAGTGTGGAGGGTGACATGGAGGAGGAGGAGGTGGTGCGAGGAGGAGATGAAAGCTTGTGGGGGCAGATATGGAGCCGTGTGGTGAAAATGTTGGCAGAGAAGTGAAAAACACAATAGAGACATGCAGCCGAAGCCCTATGTTCCTCTAGGAATTAAAGGAAACAACAATAATAATATAATACCACAGTCCATCACAATATTTTCTCTAATTCTTCTTTTACTTATAATATCTTGGATGAAGAATGTTATGCAACAAAATGCATTGAGAACAATCCACATTGTTAAAAGACTTTGTAAAGAATAAAACTAAGAAGGAAATTTTCGATAAAGCAAGAAAGACCACATTTACAGTATAAAGCCATATCATCATCATCATCATCATCATCATTCTATTCACCCTAGTTTGGGACTCTTCATCCCTACACATACAACGGCACATGTCAAGTGATCCACAACGGAAAACTCAGCAAGGCAGGCGTTTGGAGTAAACACAGGAGTCAGACAAGGGTGCTGGCTTATTATCACCAATGATATTCCTAATTGGGGTGGACTGACTGCATTATGCGTCAGACAGTGAGTGGGAAACGAGAAACGGAACAGGGATATCCTGGACCGACATGAAGAACCTAGAAGACCTGGATTTCGCCAATGGATGATTTATGTTTGATGTCACTGTCACAAAATCGAAGACTTACAAGCGAAAACCGACCGACAAGCTGGTCGAAGAAGCAGCCGGCTAAGACAGGACTCCAGGTAAACATAGACAAGACGGAGGTTATGAAAATAACCAACCAACAACAACAACAACAGCAACATCCAACGTCAATCACCATCAACGGGAGGGATTTCAAAGAGGTTACTTCATTCACTCACTTATCTAGGGAGCATTGTCTCAACTACAAACAGTCGGAGCGAACGAGGATGTCAAATCCAGCTAGAATCGGGAAGGCGAGCGAGAAACACATTCATCAACCTGAAATCAATCTGGAAATCTTCGTCATTCAGCATCACCAACAAAATTCGGATTTTCAAAACAAACGTCAAGTCAGTCAGCTCTTCTATACGGATCAGAAACTTGGCGGGTGGGTCACAAAGAATATTTCCAGCAGGCTATTGCAGACCTTTATTAACAACTGTCTTCGCTCTACACTGAAGATCAGATGGCCGGAAAGAATCACCAACAAGGAATTATGGGAACAAACAAAGCAAGAACCAATCGCCCAACAAATATGCAGGAGAAAGTGGAGATGGATCGGACTCTCGCTGAGGAGACCGCTGGGTGACATCGCGCGTCAAGCCCTCGAGTGGAACCCGACAGAATGGGAAGCGGCGTGTGGGACGTCAGTGCAAGGGCAACATGGAGGAGATCGTGTGAAGAGGAGTTGAAAGAATATGGACTAACACGGATGCAAGCGAAAAGTACAGCAGAAGACAGAAGCAAATGGAGACGTTCAGTTGAAGCCCTATGTTCCACTAGGAACCCAAGGGAGCAATAATAATAATACATCCCTACGCATCCACTACAGGTGTTTGAACCCACAACCTTCTGGTTACAAGGACAGCTAGCTCGTAGACCATTAACTCCGTTGAGTGCACACTGACGCAGAGTCCCAAACTAGGACAGGGGAACATATCTGTCCATTACTTCCTACTTGTTTTTCCAATGGTTCTCTTAACCGGCATCAGCTCATGATGAAATCCTCCAATGTATCTTTAATTCATCAAGGCAACTATGTGTATGATAGTCGTTATAATTGTTATTATTACTATTATCATCATCATTATCGGATACTTGTATGTTACTATCATTGCATAACTTACTTGTGTACTATAAATACATGCAGTTTCTCTATCACACATTGGGCTAATTTCAATACCGAATTTTCTTTCTTGATCCCCTTGACGAAACATTTCCTCCATAATTCTTGATACCCATTGTTGATAAATTTCTAATGGTTTTGTAGGATTGCTTAAATCAGCTGCATGGATAACACATTCTAATATCTAAAGGATAAAAAACGAAGGGGAAAATATCGATTATTTTTTGAATAATGTTATGTCATAAGGATTGACAATGAAAAAAAAAGCCACAGAGACAAGCTTTTAAAGTGAAGACAAGAGGAAATCAAAGGTTGTCTATTATTAGTGGTGAGATATTCGTGATTTTGGTTGACTGGATTATGCAGAAGACTGTATGCAGGGAGAGACAAGATAGGAATACGCTGGATTGATACGAAAAGACTATGGAAGTTGTGAGAACTTTACGGTTGATTCATGTCTAGTGTCAAACGAAGTCAATGGTCTACTGACTCATCGACTGACTGACTGACTGACTGACTGACTGACTAACTGACTGACTGACTGAATAACTGATTGACTGACTGACTAACTGACTGACTGACTGACTGACTGACTAACTGACTGACTGACTGACTAGCTGACTGACTGACTGACTGACTAACTGACTAACTGACTGACTGACTGACTGACTGACTGACTGACTGACTGACTGACTGACTGACTGACTGACTGACTGACTGACTGACTGACTGACTGACTGACTGACTGACTGGTTTCAACGTAGAACTTTACACAGATGTGCTGCAGTTTAAGTTGTCACTTTTCCTCCATTTTTAACACACAAAGTAAAATAATAGAAAAGATTTGTAACTCAGGTGGATGATTTCCAATTAATAGTGTTCTCTGAGCTGGTTGGTTTGGTTGCGGCGGAGCTTTCGTCGTCTTTCTGGACGGCATCTTCAGCGCAATTGTATCATCATTCATGGAGATTTTTAAATCATTTAACTTTATGCTAAATACTCCGCTGAAGATGCTGTCCAGAAAGACGACGAAAGCTCCGCCGCAATTAAACCAACCAGCTCAGAGAACACTATTAATTGCAAACACAAAGCAAAATAAGAAAGTAAAGAGAGCTGCAAAACAGGGATAATAAACAGAAGTGTAAACAGAAGAGAATGACAGAGTTCTATTGAATGTGATAAATCACAAAAAGAGTAAATACATCTGCACAAACCAATGAGAACGATCGCTTCCAGTCATGTCACCAATTGTCTTCAGCCTTCTAATCGATAGAAATCTATGAATGAAGATACTGTCGAAGTGATAAGTGATCAACTTCAAGTTCAATCACGAGTTCATTTAGGGAACCACTTGAAACCACGTGTACTGGATAGTTGTTGTCTCATCCTTATTAGATAGCTCGAGGCAATCTAATATCTAATATCATCGAATCAACGTGCACCGTGATGGTGGCGAGCTACCTAGAATGGTGGCCACATTTTTCACAAACCTGAATGATAGAATTCAGTCTGCACCCGAAAAAGAGAGGACTAGATACATCACATTAGTTACTAGTGTCAAATCAAAATGTCTCATCCTTATTTGAGGCTGTTTCGCAGTGCGCTTCCATACCCCTATCAGAGAGTGAACCAAAAGGCCTGAAGTTTACAAGGCAATCTCGTTGATCATTTCTGGTCATTGAGATGAAATTCAATGGTCCATGAATTCTAACTCCTGCTTATTTGCTAAACATAGAGCAACCACCAAACAATATCACTGGTAAGTATTTGTTCTCATAGCCAATTCAGTGGACTCCTCACTAGAACTTTAGGCAGCTTCATTCTACAGTTCATCACTAGTGAGCAATGACTTCGTCAGCAAGGTGACTTAGAAACCTGAAAGTGCTGGCTGGGTTCTATTCTTAGCGGGGTTATGTATGCAGATAGCTTGGCAATCCCACGCTAAAGATAAACGGCTGTCCGGTACTCTTGGTTTTTAATGGTTCTTTAACTGCAGTGATTTCGTGATGAACTTAAAACACATATTATTGAACAAAGAATATTGACATTGATATCATTAGTAGACAAAAGACAAGTAGTTCAGCGAAGAGTCTCTTTTCAGCGGCGGATTCATTTTCATAGCTGTACAATCGCAAATATAATATGGTTATTTTGCGTGTGTGTGTGTGTATACATTAAATTTGTCAAACGAAAATACAATTAGTTCAGGTGAATTCGTTGTTCGTATAAGAGGATAGTAACAAAAGTGATGAGTTGTCATAAATGGTTGTTAAATAAGAGTTACGTGATGGCATGAATAGTTTGATGAATGAGTTGTGCTCAGGGTGTACATGGAAACAAAATAATATACAGAATTACACAAGGGTTTTAAGTTAGAAAAAATAAGCATACAAACAGAAGTAAGGTCAAATCAACGGAGTTGTTACCATGCGAGTAGAAGTGGTTGAATAATTTTCTTTTGTATGCATAGTTCTGGTTCCATCAACTGAATGGCTAGGGCTTCTGCGATGCAAAGAAGACGGAATCGTACTGTCTTTGGAAGGTTGTTCTTCACTTTGTAGATTACTTTGAAGCAGGAGGCGTTTGTTGAGATGGAATGACCAGTGTTGACGAGATGTTCGATTATTGCACTCCTTATATGGCCATTATTTCCTTTCTGTAGCCAGGCTGGATAGTGTTCTTAGACCCTTTTTGACAGGATGCGCGTTGAACGACCGATGTACCTGGCTCCACAGCAACAGGTGAACTGATATATACACATAGAAGTGGTCATGTGCGGAATCTTGTCCTTTGGGTTTCTGCAGATCAGCGGGCGACTGGAGAACACTATTCTTAATGTTGCCGCAGGGAAAGTTCTTCCTAAAGAGGTGGAAATTCTCCTTCTGAGAACGTCACTAAGTAGGTCTCCTTTGAAGTCTAGGTTCATATAAAGTATCTTTTTAGGCACGGATGGTGTCTCTTGCTTTTGGTTTTTCTGTTTGATGTTTTTGTCTACGAGTCTTGGTGGGTAGCCATTTTGTATGAAGATTTCCCTCAGAAAGTTTAGTTCTTCTTCCATGGTGTCGGAGCTGCAGATGCGTCTGATGCGAGTGGCAAGGGATTTAATTAGGTTTCTTTTCCGACTGATTGGTACCCAGCTGTAGAAACTTGTTAATTGTCCGTTCCAAGAGGGTTTCCTATGGATTGACCTTCTTAAAGTTCCGTCATCTCTCCTTGTAAGCTCAACATCATTTTCAGTTTCCAGAGTGAACTTTGTGGCTGGATGGCATTTGTTGAATATTTGCAGTAGTTGATTGAGATCTTGACCGTCATCACAGATGACCAAGATGTCGTCAACGTACAACTGGAAATTGTCGATGGTTGATTTGAGTGGGACGTTCTCGAGGCTTGCCATGAAGCAGTCTGCTAGTAATGGGCCTAGTGGAGATCCCATTGCGATCTCATCTTGTTGTCTGTAAATAATATCGGTATTGATATCACTGTCATCTGTTTCAGTCATTTATACTGAGGCGTGAATTGTATCAGTTAGTTTTTTTTTCAACGTCGCAGATATGTCTTACTGACAATTGGAGTGAAAAGCTAGCAACACATAGACTTGGAAGTTCTTGACGATTGCCTTCAGCTATATATTGTCATGGAATATTCATTTCAATAACTTCATGTCCTTGTGGAAAAAAATACGGCTTCGACACATTTTGAAGTTTCAGTCGGCAAGATGTTGTTTTTGTGAGTGAAGTTTCTACCTTCTCACGCTCAACGCCGGGGTATACTATCAACTAATAACCTCGGCGAGGTATGGGAGGGCGTCGTCTGGGATCTTATAGTGGAACATGTGTGCGTGTAAGGTTAGTTAGAATTCTGTCAGTGAATCACCAACTCATTACCAACCTATTATGGCTGAGTTATTAGTTTCCCAATTCTCATTTACGCATTTAAAAAAACCAACAATTCGATTGAAGAAATATGCATTCCTCATCATCAGCTGCACACTAATAAATAGTTTTTACATCAGAATTTTACCAATAATGTGGTTACTTTAGTCCATCAGTCCTAGATACAAGTGTGGGGGGTGTATAGGTGAAATTAAGACGTTAAAAGGCATCAAAACAATTCACTAATAGATGTTAGTAACAAGATATGTAAGTTTTGAAGGAGGGGTGAAAATGAATTAGTTATGTGATTCAGGACCAGTTAATTCGTACGGAGGGTTACCAGCAAATTGTTACACAATCGCACACCCAATGTAACTAGTTAACTGTTTTGATCACTTTAACCTTTTAATTTCACCCCAGCCCCCGATACCTGAAACAGATGGATTGAAATAACCACTTGATTGGTAAAATTTCGATGTATAGAGCCGATGATGGATGAGGAACTAATTGAAAGGGAGTGCATGTTTCTCCTCGTAATTTGTTGTACTTTCTTCAAAATTATGAGTTGCTTTTTATAATACAATGATTTAATAAATCAAAAAATTAAGCTTTGAGTATAATAAACAATCTTTGAGCAATTCATTACTATTGTATATGCATATAAATCGATAGGTGAACAGACAAAATAGGATTAACTTACCTGCATACGGGCTGAATAACTGTCCAAGCTAATTACATTACCTTGAAGTGCTCTTTGTTTTTCGACAGTAGTTTTTAAATCAGCCAGCAAAGACATGTGCTTACTCATATCTGTTGAGAGAACCTTGCAGAAAACGCAGAGAAAATAAACAAAATAGGCAGATTTATAAATCCCTAGGAGTCCCTTTTTATTGTAATTCATAGTATTGATTTGTTTGAATTGAATATGAACAGAAGTGTAAAAGGGAGTGACACCCTACCTGTAGTTGAAGGTAGTGAATTAATGTAGGTGGACATATATTGACATAGGAGAGCAGCTGTGGATCCTAAGAGTTAACTTGTAGGTAGCTGTCGGCCAACCAATGCTTTCTTTAGTGACTTTAGAACGAAATTTAACCTTATATTGAAATGTCACTTTATAGTCTAAATCACAAAAAGGAGTTCCCTCATGATCATTATTATTGTTCCCTTGGGTTCTTGGTAGAACATGGGACCTCAACAATACATATCTACTTTCTTCTGTTTTTTGCTGTCCTCTTCAGCTGGGTCCACGATTGTCCAAAGGCTGTCATCTGCTCGTCGCACGACCTCCTCTGTGTACACCTGGCACTGATGAACCACTCGTCACTTCCCATTTAGATTTCACTCGAGAGCTTGGCATGCAGTGTCGTTCGAAGGCCTTCTCAACGTATGGTCGGTTTGTCTATATTACAAGATTGACAGGAGCCTGTATCTGCACTCATTCTTGCAGGTGAACCGCTTGAATTTGTTGATAAGTTTGCGTATCTGAGTAGTTGTGTGAGTGCTGGCGGAGGGGTGACTGGTGGCATACATCAACTTCAACCACCACCTCTGGTGCCATCGCGACGTTAGCCTGGCTGTAAAAGGTCGGGTATACAATGCTTCGGTGAGGGCTGTATTGCTCTACGCCAGGCCTGTGAAACCTAACCTCTCCGAGCTGAGGATGTGCGGCAGCTCTGCGTATTCGATCATCGCTGTCTCCGAAGGATTGCTTGCGTTCAATGGTATCATCACGTGAGTAATTCTGAGGTTTGGAGGCGTGTGTTTGAACACAGTGGAGGTCACCATTCATTGAGTGTCGTCATCTGCAGAAACAGTGGCTACGGTGGTGGTTTCGACATGTGCAGCTAATATCACTCCAGAGGCCTCCGTACACGTCTCTGTTCGCTAGCCTTGGGACGGAATGGAAAGGGCGGAGAGGTGGTCAGCCCATGACGTGGCGCGGTGGGATGAAGAATATTTGTATGGGGTTAACCTAGGGGAGAGAGAGAGCTCAAATCGATGGCTAGATCTTCTTGTTGCTAATTCTTTCTGGCCAGTTGGCTATTTGATCTTCAATATGGAGCCAGCGAATTGGGTAGCTGTTGACAAATGTGTGTAAATTGCTGGAAATCCTTTTCGTGAAACACCAGTCAAGTTTTAGACCAGTATAGAGGAAGAACTGACTGACTTCACATTTGTGTTGTGTTGAAAATCAGAATATCCTTCTTTCTGATAAGTACAGGAGATTTTCAAACCAACTTTAGATAGAGATGAAGGTATAAGCTGCCTTTCCTATTCTGACTGATTTTGACATCTTCATCTGTTCCGACTGCCAGTGGTTGAAACGATGCTTTCTAGGATAAGTGAAGCCAGGAAGTAACCTCTTTCAAATTTCCCTCATCTTCTCTGTGTGTGGACCTGGAGTCCTATCTTCGCTGCCTCCCTCTTCAGCCAGTTTGTTGGTTTTTGCCTGCAGGTTTTCTTCACGAGGAAAAGGTATAATGTACATCTTTTTGGAACAAACTTTTCTAACTCCATGTTTCTATACAGATACAACGATGTCTCTTACTTGATGAGTGTTAAATCCTACTGAGAGCATTGATCATACCTTTACCATTCTCAAACAACATTCATTACTCACTGTTGACTGCTTTCGGTTCTAACTCCATAAAAAGTGTAAGGCATGTTATTTCATGAATGCTTGCACCAGCATTATTACTATTTTTGAGGACAGGAAAAAATGGATACCACGGACAAATGACCTTGAACCGACCAATCAGATCTCTAAGTATTACGGCTTGAAGTTTCTGTAACAGTGTTTGTTTTCCAGGATGCGGTAGCTAGCCAGTCTCATGCCCAACCTTTCCTCTTCACCAGCTTTATTTCTGGTTCAGCGAGGTAGGGGAGTGCTTTGGCGGCTGGGGATCGAACCCCGGACCATGTGTGGCATGGTCGGCGAGCATCCTAGCCGCTGTACCACCGACGCACAATGCTTGTCACTGCCTCGAGGGTGGAGACGAGGTGAGTTAGAGTATCTGGGAATCGATCCCAGTACCTCTCGCATGTCAAGCGAGCGCTCAACCATTTGAGCTTTCCATACACTTCACTGCAATTTTCACTCTGGTTCAGGGTTGTATTAAGGGTGAATTTTGAAAAGAAGATCATGGGCAGCATCTATTTGAAATGCTGAGTATTGCGACTATCATCGTCCGGTTACATTCACTGTAGAGTCAATGATTCCTCAGGATTGGGTAATCCTATATATAATTTAGAAGAAGAAGCATCAAAGATATGACTCCAAGTAAACATAGAGAAAACAGAAGTGATGAAGATTGCTGGTTAACACCAACAGCAAAAACAACACACAAAAATCAGCATAAATGGGAAGAACCTGAGAGAAACAACCTCCTTTTCCTACTGGCCTGGGAAGCATCGTTTCAACTACAGGCGAACGGAACTGACGAGGATATCAAAGCGAGTATCAGGAAAGCAAGGTAAGCTTTCATTACTCTTAAGTCTGTGTGGAGGTCAACAGCACTCAGCATGAAAAATTAGATCTGGATTTTCAGCTACAATGTGAAGTCAGTCAGTGCCGCTTACTATATGGATCAGAGATTTCCACTGCGTGTTATGAAGAGCACCTCAAACAGACTACAGACCTTCATCAACAGCTGGGTGTCTTCGCTCAATACTACTCAAGATCAGATGGCCAGAAAAGATCAGCGATAGGGATCTCTTGGAGAGAACGAACCAGGAACCGATTGTGCAACAAATAAGCAGGAAGAAATCGAGGTGGATTGGCTGGCCATACTCTGAGGAAACCATTAAGTGACATCACTAGACAGGCCATTGCTCGAGTGGAACCCGAACGGGAAGCGGCGAATCGATTGTTCAAGGGTGACTTGGAGGAGGTTATGTGAAGAGGAGATGAAAGCATGTGGGAAGACCTGGAGCCAGGTGGGAAGGTTGGCATAGAACCGAACGCAATGAAGACGTGCAGCTGAAGCCCTATGTTCCTCTAAGGATTAAAAGAAATAATAATAATATATAATTCTTCATTATTTTATTCTTTTGCGACCATAGGGGAACGTAAGGCTTCAGACTAGACCTCTAAAGTTTCGGTAGCAGTGGTACTTTATTTTTACGGACTTGGGTTGCTAACCTCATATCTAACCTTCCCTTTTTATTTGTCTTTTTGTTGGCTTGGAGGGGTTTAAGAGTCCGTCTATTGGGGGACGAACCTCAAACAACATGCGTGATTGGCGAGTATTCTAATGCGGAGTGTGCTACTGACAAGATTTGTCAGTTGTGTGTGAAGAGAAGTTCATCGGCACACAAAATATCAAATAGTGGAGAGATAGATTTGACATCGAAGAGAGCAAATGAACCAATAGAATCATAGAGTCAATCAGTCATCAGAATTAATAGATCCTAAGCTGGTACTCATACAGATTCTGGTTTGTTTAATATAGCCACTCCTTCTGGAAAACTGAGGCTTCTTTTTGCAGCATATTAGAGACATATTCCCTACATAATTGATTTCTGTTATAAATACATCTACTAAACATTTTTATGCACTATAAATGCCACTTTTCACCCAGGAGCATATGATTGGATGGTTCAAGGTCATTTGAGCGTATTATCGATTATTTATTGTCGCCCTATTTACGTGTGAGCAGACAATTACTGAGTTTGGCTGTTCTACCCGTTCATCATTTCAACCATTAACCACATTATTAATTAAAGCTTGAAGCTCTAGCTAGTATAATATCCAGATCATTGTGATTAGGTCCCAGCATAAAGCAGTATACCACATCCTTTCTCACGAATCATGTGATTTAGTGTGTGAGATCAAGTCATCGTCTTTTCTCTCACCTTAGTCTTTATCACGTAGCTAAACAATCAGGATAGGAACAGTCCATTCTCAAGGTTGTGAGCCGAGTTTATTGTGTCAGATAAAATGTACACATATGGTTTGTTGTTTCCTAATAAAGGTACAATAGTGTACAATATCTTACAGTCACAGGACATCCTTTGTCTTTTGATAGTTGCACGACTCAGTAGATTCAGTTGGTACAACCGACAAATAGGCATATTCGTGTGCAAGTCGACTTCATCACCACTATAATAATTAGCAGACGTAAATATAACAAACTGGCGACGGGTTTATATTCTGTTCACTGCAGTTATGGCCATGTTAAATTTTAAGCACAACTAACTCTATCACCAGTGGAGTGCGACCACACCAATGACCTGGGCAAATTAGTGAAACCTGTCAAGTAATGTTGTCATCATCAATAAAACATGCTCATTAAAGTGTGTTATCCTATTAAATGAGATATCTGGCTAGTTTCAGCTTGGTTAGGTTTGAGAAAGATTAAGTTACACTTTAAGCCAAAGACAAGTTAGGGGTTTAGGTTAACCTAATAAAGGCGACATTAGGGTTGATTCGAGGTAGATTACAGTTAGTTTAGGGATATTTTCACGTTCAGGTTAGGTTCCTGAAAGATTAGGGTTATTGTTAGCGTAAGAAGACCTAAATAAATTACATGCATAGAATGTAGTTAAATCACTCTGCTGATATATCTGTAAGAATAGAACATGTGCACTGTGGTAGAGTATAATTCCATTGTGGGTAAAATTTATTTTGATAAAGTCACACAAAGTGTTGTTATACAGTAATATTTACTGATGACAACGTTTCGAGCACAATTTATTGCCGATCATAATCATATCAAGGTACTCACACAATTTTCTAACTTCATTTATATAATTCCATTATTTCATTTCATCGCTTAATTTGATTGGTAGTAGTATTTTCCATATTTCCGGTATGAGTGATGAATCATTCCTATTGCATGTGTTTGGTGTAGACTCGATGAATCAGGCAGGATTCGATAATCAACCTCTCTCTCCACCTATCTAGAATACTTTTTAGAATTGTAACCCTCTCCCTCTCACCCTATTGTGTGGTTGTGTGTTAATGCATGCATTGCAGTTGCTGAGCTATTGTTAAATTACTTATCGTCTCTGTTGGGGTCAACAATTCTTATCTTAGCTAAATTCTTATGCTCTGACAATCTGACTACCCCTTACCTACTAGTTTGACCTATGTAGTTGACCTCACAGTCATTTCAGGGTCTTTTGTAAATTATATTATTTTGTTTAATTGGGTCAACCTACAGTGTCCTTTAGCCTACAAAGCTTGTCCTACCTGAATGAGTTTGTGGGTTTGAATGCCACCACACTAATTCCTGCTTTATTTAGAATCCTACGTAGGGTTGCAGATGTCCCCTCTTTATATGGTATAACTGTAGATGACTTATATTCTCTCTTATTTATGTTATCATTATTAGTTTCACATTTATTTTTATTTTGCTTTTGACCTGTTCTGATCTTCCCAATGAATTTTAGAGGATAGTTATTTAATGCTAACGCTTCTTCTATCTGTTTTATTTCATCATTTAGGTCTGTTTTTGTACTACTTAGTGCTACTGCTCGGTATTTTAGACACTTAACTAACCCATAATGGAATTATACTCTACCACATTGGTAACGTCTCTGACTACAGAAATGAATGACGCTGTTTCGAATTTCAAGTGGGACACAGCATTTCCTTTAAAGTCGCAGATATAACTTGCTGACGACTTACAAGAGGCGTGAATCCCTGGTCGGGAGGGACCTCCTGCTGATTACTTCCAGTCCTCTAACATCAATTCGGAGTGCTTCGCAACGGCAAATCGACTTAGCTTGCTGAACATATATGCAAACGTGACTGTGATATAATTCAGTCTGCACGACAACACCAAGGAGTAGTTAGATAACATGGTTTACACCCAAATGACCAATTTTTATCTACGAGTAAAACTGTTGTGCTTCTTTCATGTTTTCAGTTAAAAATGAAACCACTACCACTGTGGTGAGAGCTGCCTACTAGCCAAATTGGTAGACAGCAATTTACGTCAACGTTTATTTCCTCAATATTGGTCGTGAGAAATATATGAACAAAGACTGATTCAAAAACCAACCACAGCACACTTTGCGTGGGCAGATACAGTTAACATATAGTTGATCTGACATTCAAGAAACAGTCACAAATAGATGCAAGGTTAACTTTCTGTGGGAAAGAACCACCAATCAGAAGACTGTGGTGTTTTTCTACTAACAATAATCTATAACAATGTACATGAAAATCTATAAATATGTGTTGATTTCGTAAATAAACGATCTGTTTCCTGGCCTTTGTCTTCTGTTGTTACACCACTAAAAACATTCAGAAAAGAAAGACACGCTTCACTTACTAAATTGATTACCATTTTACGAAACAGTTGCTTTTGTTGATTTGTAAGATACTGTGTAAAATCACATTCTTTCTCTGTACTGATCATTTTGAAGGCGACGTGTAGATGATGGTTTTCCAGAACTGAGATATCATTGTACAATAGGGCTAATTCATGATCTATAAAAACACCGGAAGAGAGAAGAAAATACGCAAAAACATTGAAAGGAAAGGGAAAATGACGAGTATTTTTAGACTTTTTCAGTTTGTCAAGGTTTTGATTAATTCCAGTCGACATTATTTACATTGGGTGGAAGATTAGGCACGTAAATCGTTGAATTTCTGAAAAGTTGTGGAAAATACCCATCGGAACACGAAGTTCAGCAAAGATATCGGTCTTTTCGGCGATTTCATTCTCAAAAGCAGATGTACAGTTGCATTTCATGAGTCACCCTCTGTCATGTTTAGAAAACTCTACTCTCTCATCTAAACATGGCTCACCTTATCTTGTTTCATTTCTTTCCTTTTTTCTATTGGCTATTAGATAAGACGCTTTCTTTAGTTACGTTTTTTTTAATTTCCTTCACGTTCCCAGTGGGACATAGGGCTTCAAGCTAGTGGCTTGAAGTTTCTGTAGCAGTGTTTATTTTCATAGGATGGGGTTGCTAACCAGCCTCATGCCCAACCTTCCCTCTTTACCAGTCTTATTACTAGCTGAGTGAAGTAAAGAAGTGCGTTGGCGGCCGGGGGGATCGAACCCCGGACCATGTGTGGCATGGTCGGCGAGCCTCCTAACCGCTGTGCCAACGACGCAATAATCCACCTTTTTGTTATGCTCTTTCTACCTAAACCTCGTTTCTATACACACACATATATGTACGCAACCCTGCTTTTTGTTTCCAAGCCTAATCGTCTAATTATTCTATGAATAGTCAGTGTTTGTAACTCCTAATCAGTTAAATCATTCCGGACTAATGTTACTTTTAATTCCTACCAATTATTTCTTGTGATCGTGGAAAAGTATGTTCAAATCTTTAATGTAATTCATATTTTTTTATTGTTCAGGTTGTAACCAGTTGAGAAGAATCCTTGAAATAATAAAAGATGAGCTCATATTATCTTGTGGTACAATTGTTGTTCTTGCTTTGTTCAATCATTTATATACATTAGTTTACATGGTTACAATCATTATTAATTTAATTAATTCGACATGGTAACGAAAGTGATAATTATTATTTTCAACTTGATACGAAAGTTTGAAGGTACGAATATAGTAGAGATTACAAGGGGCTTAGAGACAAGATTGCATAGGATTTGAAAATAGTTACAACGTATGCAAAAATTAATATTTGATAACTGGAGAAATAGTAATTTTAAAGGTGAATAAAAGGTGATAATTATTTTCAACTTGATATGAATTACAAGAGGCTTAGAGACGAAAGTTACGCAGTGATAGGACGAATTACAGGTGTGAACAAAATGAGCATGGAAACAAATTGAAGTCAAAATTTCCAACTTGAAATGAAATGGAAGTTAGGAGGTATGAATATGCATTACAAGAGGCATAGAAACAAAAAATTTCACAGGATTAGAATATAATTGTAAAACGGTTATTCTAAACGGATTACAAGTGTGATCAGGAGGAGCATGGAAACAAACTTTTTTATTATTATATATAAGCTTTATTCCAAATCAGTACTTGTGATACAGAATGGAATTCTCAGCATTTTACTACAATATTGCATCCAGTTTTTACATTAACAATAAATAAAGTTCTACATAGATTAAAGATTATCTCAACAACATATTAGTATGTCGGTAGCAAAGCCAAAATTAAAATGTTTGTAGGTGTTAGAAAAGTAGATACTACTAGCATATTTACTGGCGTAAGCGATAGCAAAATGGTCGAGATATACAGAGTGTAAAAGAACAACAAGAAGGTTTTAACTAGAGTTTGCAAGGAAGAGAAAAACAAAACAGCACTTAACAAAAATAAAGACAAAAAGGTAGAGAGAATGGAAAAGAGAGAAAACGTTGTACCCATAAATGATGTGAGTTGGAAAGACGAGATTCATTGGTTCTAGTGACTATTTAATAAGTTAAAGGTTTCATGCCTGATGCATTCTTTATCACACAGAACACGGGCTAGGTAGGGTATGGATGAGTTTTTGTACTTACTAGTGCGGGCATATAGTTTCCTATATAGACTTCTTGTTTTCCCTGAAGAGATACATGGGGAGAGTTGTGAGTGTAGAGGGTGTTGTGAGTCAGATAAAATGGACTTCGCCCATTTTTCACATGAGTCCATGTGCCTGTCCACCAGAATGTTAACAAGCTGGCTAAGTGGTAAACTGCTTACCCTTACTTAAAATGACTGATTTTATAACTGAAAAAAATATGGGATGAATTGAATGAAGACAAAGGGAGAAAAATACACACACACAGAACAAAACAAAAAAAAACTGAAGGATAAGGGAACATGCCGAACTAGGTCCATGGTAGTTGTAAAGGCTGGACTAGTTTCTTTTGGACATATACCTCCGGCTTTTCAATGCACACACCTGTAATTCGTCCTATCCCTGCGTAACTTTCGTCTCTAAGCCTCTTGTAATTCATATCAAGTTGAAAATAATTATCACCTTTTATTCACCTTTAAAATTATTATTTCTCCAGTTATCAAATATTAATTTTGCATACGTTGTAACTGTTTTCTAATCCTATGCAATCTTTTCTGAAAGCCCCTTGTAATCTCTAAAATTCCTACCTTCAAACTTTCAAATATCAAGTTGAAAATTATTATCACCTTCATTACTATGTTGAATTAAACAAATAATAACTGTATCCATGTAAACTAATGTATATAAATTGTGGTTTAACAGCTTTTGAAAATGAAATCGCCGAAAAGACAGATATCTTTGCTGAACTTCTTGTTCTTTTCAATCTAATTTCTAGGATACGTCTGAATAAAGTGAAACTTAGCTTCATAATAGGTCATCTTGTCGAAATGAGATATCAGGTCGATACTAAAAAAAACCTTTTAAAGTTATTTATTATCGCATTTCATCCAGCCTTCCTCATACTCTACAGGTGTGACTTTCGCATACACCAAAGATGATAGGAATTCTTCCGGAGGAACTAAGTCTCCTTATTGAAGGAAAGTGTGCTGTAATTGAACCAGTAATGTGTATAGATTCTTACAAGTCACTATTTTTCCATATCCTAGTAACTATCAAATGGAAGTGTCAATGATTTGGTGAATCGTTATTACTGGGGAAATCTAGGAGACGCATTTCGTCCCATTTGGGACTCGTCATCTAGATGTATCCACAGTCCTCATTGAAGGACTCAAAAGAAATAATAACGGATGACCTAGGCGGTCTAGTGGAAGACGCTTTGGTATGTTGGGTTTGAGTCTTAGTGGGATCCTTATCAATCAATGGTAATGCAAGTACATCCAACTGACAGACGAGTGCCAAATAGGACGAAATGACCATCCTGGATTCCATCCACAGGGATTCACTAAGTTACTTCAAGTTAATCTTAAGACATCGTCTATGCGTCCGAACTAGGAGCTGAGATATCTCAACCGAGGCCGAGCTTTTCTGTTTAATTAATTAACGGGAACATCACAAGTGAATTAAGACATATGACACTGTTATTCATACTATTTCGGCTAATTCGTATGGCTTTGTTGTACTTTGGCTGTCTTATTTAGTCGTTATCTAATTCATTTAACCTCTTTCTTCTTAATAGTCGTTACCTTACAAACTGTTGATTGTGTAATAACCTCTTGCGAACTTCTAAAAATCAAGTGGTCTTGTTGATTCAGGCAATCATTTTCACTCGCCCCCGTATATTTTTGATGTATAATTTTTAGAAAGCTATCACTAGTGTGTGTGTGTGTGTGCGTTGGCGGTTCAGGGGTAGAATTCCCACAAGCCACGCATGAGATCCGGGGAACTGATTATTAAAACACACCTAGCAGCCCATTGTGGGTAGCTCCAGGAAAGACTGGAGGTTGCGCTTGAGGATCGCAACCCTACCGCGTAAATGCAGCTCCACTGCTAATAAAACTTCAAAACATGTAACCTCACGTTCTAGTCTGAACGTCATTGTTGAGAAAGAAATTGAAAAAGAATATGTATCTTCGCTGAAGCGAAAACCGACAAAGAGGTCGAAGAAGCAGCCGGCGAAGACAGGACTTCAGGTCAACATAGACAAGACGGAGGTTATGAAAATAACCAACCAACAACAACAACAGCAACATCCAGCGCCAATCACCATCAACGCGAGGGATTTGAAAGAGGTTACTTCGTTACTTATCTAGGGAGGATTGTCTCAACTACAGGAAGTCGGAACGGACGAGGATGTCAAATCGAGCGAGAGTTGGGAAGGCGAGCGGGAAATACATTCATCAACAACCTGAAACCAATCTGGAAATCTTCGTCACTCAGCCAGCATCAACAACAAAATTCTGTCGGATTTTCAATACAAACGAAGTCAAGTCAGTCTGTTCTTCTATACGGATCAGAAACTTGGCGGGCGGGTCACAAAGAATATTTCCAACAGCCTGTTGCAGACCTTCATCAACAACTGTCTTCGCTGACTCTTTACTGAAGATCAGATGGCCGTGCCGGAAAGAATCACCAACAAGGAATTATGGGAACAAACAAAACCAGAACCAGTCGCTCACTCAACAAATATGCAGGAGAAAGTGGAGATGGATTGAACACTCACTTGCTGTGGACGCATGCTGGGTGATATTGCGCATCAGGCCGTCGCTCGAGCAAAACCCGACAGAATGGGAAGCGGCGAGTGGGACGTCAGTGCAAGGGTGACATGAAGGAGATCGTGTGAAGAGGAGGAGTTGAAACAGTATGGACTAACTAACATTTTTTTTTTTTTTTCAACATGGATGCAGATGAAAAGTACAGCAGAAGGAAGACAGAAGTGGCAAGTGGAGATGTGCAGTTGAAGCCCTATGCTCCACTAGGAATCCAAGGGAACAATAATAATAATAATAATCTTTGCTGAATTCATTATATTCTCCGGGTGAAAGAAGCACTGGAAACTGAGGGCAGCTGGATGACTGTTTCGTCCCAGTTTTCGTCTCCTCAGTACTATATCCCCTTGACTCTACCAGTGACTAAATGTGAGGGCTTAAGGCTACTACTGTCTCGACATTAAGGTGAAGGAATCCAATAGCACATAGATTTTAACTTCTGTCAACAGAGACATACTTCTGAAGAGTCCAGGTATTGGACGAAACGAGCGTCCAGCGGCATTTCACTTTTAGTAGTTCTCCAACCTATATTGGTTCGCGATAGCGTCTTCTTTGAGAAGTATGTCGTGTAGTCACAGCAGATGACAACCTATACTAATTTGAGCAGTTTCTTTAATTTTTTGTATTCACTTACTTCATTACTACTAAATTCAAAATAAATAAAAGTAAACTCACTTGTATTAATCAAGTATTGATTTGTTAGACCGGGATGATCGATATCGTGTATTGTGCAAGCAAAGTAAATAGCGAACATTTCAAGATCACTAAAGATATTCTGTTTATAAAAACAAAAAAACAAAATGGCGGTAATATAATTAATTAATAATTGAAAATGAAAATTGAACAATTATGACATTTGATAGTGTGAAATATTCCCATATCGCATGAATTAAAAGTCAATCTGAACGAGGAAGAATATTCTTTTCAATAATTAGAGAGAGAATGGACCACTGAAAGGAGTAATTGATGACTTGGATTTCTACTGTCCATACATATGGATGATACATTCCTGGTTATGAAAAACGGGAATGATCCAATGAACATCCTGTACAAGTTTCATGATGTACAATTCAGCAATAAACTTTACCATAGAGAAAGAAAGTAATGACAGTATCTCATTCCTAGACGTCTTCATGGCAAGGAAAGAAGATGGCACACTAAGAAGGAGTGTGTACAGGAAACCTACTACAACAGGTCAGTACACTGATTTTTGAGTTTTGTACCGTTGAAATATAAACGCGTAACCTGGTAAAGTGTCTGGTTCATAGATCTAGGTTAATCTGTTCAGACGACTGCCTCAATGAGGAGCTTAAGATTATTAGAGAAAATGGTTATCCAGATAAGTTCATTGAGAAAAATATGAAAATGAATTCATCACCTAGGACAGTCACTATGACAACAGTTCCGAAAAAACCATTGTTCAAAAAACTGCAGTTCCTCGGTGATAACATCAGCGAAATAATAACACAACGACTGAAGAATGCAGTTAAAAGAGCTTATTATGCAGCAGGAAAAGCATACAAACAAATCGATGGTGTTGCAATGGGTAGCCCTCTGGGGCCCCTGTTAGCAGATATATTTATGTCGAAATTAGAGAAACAAATGCAAGGTATGCTTGGAGAATTTATGCTGTACAAACGTTATGTAGATGATACTCTTATTATTAGTAATAATAGCAAATCTATTGAAAACTTTATCACCCTATTTAATCATATCCATCCGAATATTCGAGTGACCTCCGAACTAGAATCCAATAACAAACTCGGTTTCCTGGATATTACTATGACTAGGAGAAATGATGGAACGATTAAGCGCTCTATTTTTCGTAAACAGACATGGAGTGGACAATATCTTCATTTTACCAGTTTTGTTCCTATCCAGTATAAACGTTCCCTGGTGAAATGTTTGTTCTCAAGGGCTCGAAAAATATGTACGAGTGACACATTGATGGATGAGCTTCGACATATACATTCAGTTTTACTAGCCAATGGTTATCCAGAAAACTTCATCAATTGTCACGGTAGGGATAGACCACATCTTGAAAAGGAAGCTTCTGTACCAAAAAAAGCCATCTTTATTAATCTACCATTCAAGGGCGACCAGATTATGCAGTTGACAGCTACAAAGACTTCGGTCAGCCATCAAATGCACATTCTACGCCGCCACATCTCTTTTTCTCATTTTCCGAACGTTTTCGATCCCTCTACCTACGATTAAAGGACGCAATTCGGTGGACTCTACTTCAAACTGTATCTACAAGTTCACCTGTAGTTGCGGTGACACCTATATAGGTAGAACTAACAGAATGTTCCAATGTCGTCGAAAAGAACATGTTCCAAAATGGCTAGTAAATCATATCGAAAATCCTAACGCGATTAATCTGAATAGAAATCCAGCATCATCCATTGCCAAACACTTATTAATGTCTGGTCACAAAATCAATATTAATGACTGTTTCACAATTATTTAACATAACTCTAATTCAAGGTTGGTTATTTAAGGTGATGGCAGCACTTTAGGGGATTAATCACATACAGCCTAAACTGTGTGTCCAAAAATCAATAGACTTCAATCTTCGCCTACCCTGGACTACATGACCTATCTAAATATGATTGGTCATTAGTATGTACTTTTGTTTTTATTTAACTGAGTAATTTTCATGAACTTCATTTTATCATTGTTAACCATGTTGGTTGTAAAGCGGTTGTAAAGAAACTACGAAATGATGATATCATCTCACGAAATTTGTCTTCTTAATGCCTTGTTCAAACTGTTGTGTATTGTAATAAAAATGCTACAACGTGTATATTAGAGTAGAGCCAGAGTGGGATGAGGATCTAATTGAAAAGTAAAATTATTTCTTCGCTCTCTCAATCTTTCTGTTTTCAATAATTTCTCCTCGTTAGGTTCTAACAATTATAAAATATAATATTTATTGTCGTTACAATAATCGTAGCCAGTTAATGTGGCGGACACATTTTTTTAAACTTAGAATAACAGATTAGTAGTTATGAGGTATCAAAATGAATAAATAGTCGTATTTGAGTGTGACAAATGTTGTGCTAGGCTGAAATCGATTACAAAATATTTCGGTGAAATAGGAGACAATGTGGACGGTGACTAGTCATAATAGATTGGTAGAATTGACAAGTCAGTTCAAGGTTATAAAAGGTGTCAGATGATGGAGTGGCTAGTACAAAGTGGTATGTATTAAAGAGGACGAAATAGTCAGACTGCAATCAGAGGTTCACCATGAAATAACGAATGTGTGAAATGAAACAAGTGGAAGCATATTGTTGAGAAACGAGATAATATCACTAATAATAATAAGTCCGGATAGTATAAATGAAAAATCAAATTCGATAGTATTGAGGGAATGTTTGCATGAAGGGCATAAATTATGACGAATAATAATAATAATAATACGACCATTTATTTTGACACCTCATAACTACTAATCTGTTATTCTAAGTTAAAAATGTATCCGCCGTATAACTGGCCTTGATTGTAACGACAACAAATATTATATTTTATAATTGTAAGAACCTGAAGAGAAATTATTGAAAAGGATATACTTTGATAAAGCTATTAGCATTAAATAGCGAAACCTCGAAAAATACCCATTTATTCATAAGTAAAAACACAGTTTTTGTTCAGCGAAGAAATTTCTTTCCAACGACTTCATTTTCAAGCTGTACAGTCATATTTATATTACAGAAAAAGGTTATTAAGTGGCACTAAATAACCTTTTTCTGTAATATAAATACGACTGTACAGCTTGAAAATGAAGTCGTTGAAAAGAAATTTCTTCGCTGAACAAAAAATAGCGAAACGTCAGTAAAAACAACATTGTTTTGTTTTTCGTTCATTGGGAAATACAAAAAAACCTTTATTATAAAAAATATTCTTCCTTCAGATTGGCTTATAATTATGACATTAAGAAATAAAAATCAAAACAAGTGATTCAGCGAAGAGACTCTTTTCAACGAATTTATCATCAAGCTGTACAATCGTATATATATATGGTTTTTTAAGAAGTTATATCCGGTGAGGGAATTGAATCATAGGTGTGAATGCATAAAATAATAATAATAGTAGTATGAAATGCAATTAAATCGGTCGTTCGACTCAAGTTTTGGCCAAGAGCGCAGAAGAACACTATCCTGCATGGTTACGAAGAGGTGGAAGTGGAGCAATAAGAAGCGCGATCATTGAGCAAAACATCTGGTCGATAATGATCATCCTGTCTCTATAGCCTCCAACTTTAAAGTCATCTACAAGGCGAAAAGTAATTTACGGAAATCAATATGTACCCAACTCATCTGTACTGCTGAAGCCATCTTTGGCTATCAAAACAGAAAAGACAGATCTGTGTGTACAGAAAAAGAGGTTCGTTCAACCCCTCCCCTCCAACTTTCATGGTCTTAATCCATCTATGCTAAAGTATGGTAACCAATTTTTCATTTTTTCAATTTGTCTATTCAATTTGTATACTCTTCCTTTATTACGTCAATTGTTACTTTTACTATTCTCACTTTGAACTGTCCCCGGTATTATTTCACTTGTTCCACTTGTCATTCTTAATCAGTTCTTTTTTTACAAGGTTAAATTTCATACTTTTAAATTTCGCACAATATTACGTAACGTTTTTATTTTATTCTTATTCTATTTGTCTACTAATCCCATTATTGCACACACACCCCTATCAAGTTCTATCCCTCCTATGAACTATTCTGTATATCACATTAATTTGTTTTGCCACTTGACATTTAACTATGATTACAATCACAGACATTTCAGTTTTAATTGTATTTCATATTATTATTATTATTATTTTATGCATTCACACCTATGATTCAATTCCCTCACCGGATATAGCATCTTAAAATCCATATATATACGACTATACAGCTTGATGATAAATTTGTTAAAAAGAGTCTCTTCGTTGAATCACAAATAAAAAGCACAATTTATCCCCGCTCATGATCATATCAAGTTAAGTTACACAACTATCCAACTTGGTTCATATAATTTCATTATTGTTTTTCATTGCTTGATATGACGATTGGTAGTAGTATTTTCGACATCTCTGGTATTGTCAATGTGTGGGTGTAGATTCAATGGAGAAAGATTCATTAATCAACCTCTCTCTTTACTTACCTATAATACTTTGTAGAATTTCACCTCCGTCCCACTCTGTTTGTATGGTTTTGTGATGATGGATGCAGTGCGACTGTTGAGCTTTTTTCTAAATTACGTATTTTCTAGAGGTCAATCATTCCACACTTAGTTAAACTTTTATGTTCTGACAGAAAATCTAACTATCTCGGGATCTACTGGTTTGACTGACCTATGTAATTGACTTAACTTAGAGTCACTACAGGGTATTTTGTAAATTATATTATTTTGTCTAATTGGGCCAACCCACAGGGTATTTTAACCTACAGGGCGAAGATAATTAATTTAGGAAAAAGCTCAGCACCATATTGCACTGCATACATTAACAAACAACACACAAACAGGGTGGTGGGAAAGGGTTAAAATTCTAAAAAGTGTTATAGGATGATGGAGAAAGTGAGAGGTTGAATACTGAAACGTTGATCATAGAATCTACACACACCCAACACATTCAATTAGAATGACTCATCCATCACTAATACCAGAGATACGGTAAATACCACTGTAGTTGTGTGATGCAGATAATATGGGTTCCAACGGAATATTGTTCTCACACTAAGATTCATTGTATATGTTAGTGTAAAAGTCTAAATGCTA